AAATAGGTATGGCATCGATGAACGAATCGACATTTTCCTCAATATTTCCACTAAACCGAGATTTGCATGCAGAAAACTTAGCTGTGGTACTTACATTTTGCTGGACTTGAGTTGCCTGTGTACCAATATTTATATTTTGTATACCAGCTAATAATCTTTGAAGCATATCTGGCGTTATGACAATCTGTTTTACTAGAGGAGCAGTTCCAGTATTTGGTGGCATCTTGCTTGATTGTAGCTGGAATCCTTTACCAGATCTTAAAGGAATCCACTTTAAAATAGAATGGATATTGCGGTTTTGTCAAAAGAAATTTGGCAACTATGGATTGCGTTTGACAAAACAAGAGGCGGCAACAATAGCTTAACGTCAGTGGTGAGTATGGACGTTTTGCAACAATGAAACGTAATTAGTGGTATTGCAAAACAAAAATTATATAATATAGCGGCGATATTTCCGAAATGAAACTGAAAGGACAGTGTTCAACGGAAAGTAAATTAACACAAAACCAAACTGAGACAGCGTCGATTCAATGTCTAAAAACACACTTTCATTGTAACTCTTACCAAAATCACATTTCACAATAGTTCAAGGCCCCACGTTGGGCGCCAATTTGTGGCGGGTAGTCGGTAGTTCAACCTCTATCTGCTTTGGATCGAGGGACTGTGTAATATACTCGAGAAATTGTCAAAATGCAAAGACAAAAACACTACAGTGAAGACTCACTATAACTTTAATTAAACATGACAGTTAACAGTTAAAAACTACAAACAGGGTGGCTAGCTTGCAAAGTTTTGTTACAATTCTTGAAAATTAAGTCTTTCTATATACAAATTTGAAATTACATGATGTCGACAAAAATGGTAAACATGTATGCTTGTATTTTGGAAATCAGTGACGCTATTGACATGAATCTTTTGCCGAATTGTAGCTCTTAATAAGGGCTACAAAAAATGTTATTTAATACTCCGAGCCCAAAGGTTTCGTTTTCAAGATAATCCGCTTGGAAGCTTTTGCAAAATTTGAGGTAAAGTTTCAAATTTGAGCCTCAATATCTTCAGAAGTATTTAAGATATAGACATGAATCTTATTTTATCTTGAAGATAATTTAATTCTGATTCAGAATATATAATTTTACATTTATTTATTACAATAATAACCGAGTAATCAGCAACTTTGTGAAAGAATGTCAGATTATTGAACTTTTTTGAGCCCAAAAACTGCAAAAATCGTTCTTATTTTTTTACAAGGCTTTAAAACTCTAAAAACAAAGTTGCAAAAATGCTTGAAACTTTGGCTCAATCTGGGACTAGTGTTTGGTGCTCGCAGCAGTACGTCAAAACACTCAAGACCAACAACCACTTTCAATTTTTTAATTAATTTTTAATTCTTAACTAGAAATTTAAAAAATCTATATTAAAATTGTAGTTTCAATAAATTATGGTAGATTAGCTTGTCATTATCGATTATTGAATCGTAGTCAAAATTATGGTAGAATTCGATAATTATCGGATCATTGGCAACACTGATGGAAGATTTCATAAAGCATCAATTCAATGTGTATGAGGTTGAAAAATTTAAAATAATTCTGTACTTTTAGAAATATCAAAAGAAAATTTCGAAAAATTCTACCACTGATAAAAATGATATTCCTATTATCTTCCTTTTCAGCAGTAGGTATCAAACAGAATAATTTATCAGTAATATTCAATGGGTATTTAAAATTTGGTGAATTCCACAAATTGTGTATTCTAAATCGGAATAACGTGGGTATGTTTCAATAATAATAAAAGATAATAATAGAAATCTAAAATTAGTCAGTGAGCCCATAATTAGGTATTGAAAATAATTAATAATTTTACATTGGTAGCATCAAAATAAATTGGTTTTCCAGAAATTTGATGAATGCATGTTCCAAATAAATTCTTTTACTGAATGTTTAATTTTAATTAAAAAATTCCTGAAATAGAAAATACATGTAAATTTAGATTAAAACGATTTATTTGGTGGAATGCATACCATGCATAAAAAGTTCAATTTCGCAATATTTATTCAAAAAAACATTTTTCAGTATACATTCCAAATGAATTTGGATAAGTAAGTGTGGAGTGGTTTATAAAAAACTATTTTTGTTTAATGTCGTTTTATGTAGAAAAAATATCAATAACTTATAAGTTATCGAGGAAATAGCTTCTGTGCTGATGCTGTTTTATGCAGCTCAATTACAAGGATAAAAATCGTTATATAAAGACTTTATCAAGTTTCTAGCAATAATAAGGAAAGTGACATAAACTTTACGATTTTATATATTTCATGGTGTAACCACACAATATTTCTTTTTCTCATGGAATCATTTTTAACGGTTTTGCATTGTTTTCTAACATACCTTGAGTAATTTAAATAAAAAATTATATATTAAAAAAAATTAAATTTTCTTCATAATTACAAGGAATGCGATTGTTGTTTTATTTTCTTAATTATGTAAGTTTCTACAGGTAATATGTCTGATAATATGAAGCTGTCTTCTTTGATCGAGTTGTTTTTCCAAGAATGATGTTCACCTGCTTTGTAAATACATAAGTTTCACTCATATCGCTTTAAGCAATCAAAAAATTAAAATATTCGAGTTACTCTATCTGTGAATTTAGTATTATCATTTTAAAATTGGTTTGACTTGAGTTTGAGCTTAAATAATAAGCAATAAATCAAAGGAGAGCGATATTTTACTAAAGATGTTTAAATTTGAGTTCGACACTATTTCTGATGGTTTATATAGTTTCTTTGTATGCTTTTAATGGTTGGTTGGCAGAAGAATAGATAGTTTTTCTATTACAAATACAAAATATGTAGTTAAACGATTGCTTCTTTAATGATAGAAATTACAGTTTTATATTAAGATTTCTGTTTTATGATACACTAAAATCCGAGCTAAAATCATATAATCATATATTCTATAGTTTTGTAATTGTTCAGTTATTACGATAAATTTATCATTTACGTAACATGTTTAATTTTTTTTTTTTTTAATTATAAAGTCGTATTTGATCCTTTTCCTGTAGGCTTTGGTTTCTAAAACGTTCTCTTTCGTTGACAGAATTCTGGCAGGCAAGAGGTTTTTATTTTTATTAATTTTTGATCTCAAATTTTGGATTCTCCATTATAGATTTTCCAATATATTTTGCTATCAATGCATATTATCATTATTAAGTTTTTACCTGATAAATCTTATCTTATCTATTTTTGAAATATAAATATTATATTTAAATTTTTTTTTATCTAATTGTTGGCTTCCATTTTGTGTGAGTGCTGATTGGTTGTGCCACGTTTTTTTTTTTTTTTGAGGTAAGTCAACTCACATTTTCGGATTTTTAAAAGGTACTGCTGCTCTGGTTTCCAAAATCAATTGTTAAGTTGGGAATATTGGACCATTTGCTCTAAATAGAGTCGGTGAAAAACCAAATTTGTGTGTCCATCCCTATCAACTCTTTATTGAATCCAGGCAGGGGCCTGAATAGCCATTTTCTGTTTGACTCCCTCAATTATTATCTCGACTAAAGGTTGTAATTTTTCAATAGAAATCCAGACAGGTCAAAAAATTTAGTTAAAAAGTTTTAATTAAAACATCTCAAGAATTTTGACATATTTTGGATTTGATTAATTTCAACCCCAGGTTTATCTTGTATCTATAGTTGCTACCTTAATTTGAAAGGAAAATTTTGTCTATTTAGGGGAGATTCTAAAGATTTAATTTCTTATTGTTCTACCTACCTTATTTTGTTCGTATTTTTGCCTGCCAGAGCTGCTGTCAGGAAAGCAGCATTTTGCTCAATCCTAACGAGCGTTTTAATTTAATCTTGTTATTATTTTGATTTTATTATTATCTTTCCATTATTCTCAATTATTTAATTGTATTTTTTTTTATATTAAAATATTTTTTTTTTCAACTTGCAATAGCCGTTCATACCTGATTCTGTTGGAAGGGAGTGTCTGTACAACAACAGTTTTATATTAACTTTCAATTTAAATTTTCTTTGCAAGACTCTCACTTTTTGACAGAATTCAGGGATTTAATATGCCAAATATTGGTGAACTTGATACTGCCTTATTCTTTTTTGGGTACATACTCGACATAAAGATCACTGTTTGGAGACTGAATCAGCTGGAGTGACGTCAGCCCAGTAATCTATCCTCTTCCTGGATACAGGAAACAACACGAAGAGTTTCAGTTCACTAAAGTGAAACCCCAACACCCATTGAAGAGCTCCGGATTGGAAAGGTATATAGTATCAGATTCACTAAGCTGTCAACACTAAAATTTCACAGTAACATTTACAATTACTCTATGTTACATATAACATTGTTAAATATCAAATAAAATTATTGTTTGTTGGATTTTGAGTGGTTTCATTTGCACATAAAGGGACTACACGTTATCTTAATTTTTTGAATTCCACGACCCTAGCTAGTAAGAAATAATTTAATTAATTTGTAACAAGATATAAACATAATATTGAAGTTTTATTGGCTGAGAGGGTATATGATGGATTGGTGAGCCTATAAGCGAAGTCAAATGGAAAATCTAGTTTCCCTATTATGTGTCCGAATTACAAAAGAGTGAAATTTTTTGTGCCATTGGAATTCAAATATTGCTTTACCTTGTTAAATAATGTTTCCTGCCATCTACAGTAGTGAGAACCCTATCAATGTTAGCTTGAGAAATATCGGAAAAATTCATATTGCCAGTATTTTTTTGGACTTATTAACAAAGAAAAGATATTGTTGAAAAATATTTCTAATTAAATGATAATCACACTTTTTGCATCAAGAATTTTGGTTTCTAAATTAGAGTCGTAACCACTTGAGTGGTGATTCTTTTGAGGAGAATTGCATCAATCTATTTTATTTCGTAAAATTACTAAGATCAAATGAATTTAAGATCGGTAGGCGTTTCTACTAATATTCTAACATCGAATCGACAACATCCATAAAACATCAAACTTACTTTCAACAAGCCAGAGCGTTAGCTTCAGGCTGCAGCGAAGAAGAGATTTTTTTTTTTAAATTAAAAAAGTCCGATAAGTTTGTTTGAGGAAGTTTGCCGTTGTCGCGTTAAAAGTTTACGGCACAAACAGACAGAGGGTGCTGTTGTCGTAGGACCGCCGTCCTTTGAGGGCGCCGCATAGAGACTGATCTGGCGCTGTGCTTCGCGCTCTATTCTCCGAGTTTCCTGCGTCGATTACTGGATTTTTCTGTTTTTCACATCACGGCTGCAGCTTCAACGGGCCTTACTTGGCAATTTTTAATTAGTTATTTTAACTGGTAAATATATTTATGGAAAATTTAGATAGCTAGAATGGCTCTCTTTGTGCTAAATATTGTTATCGGTCCAAATTCTAGCTCTACTCTCTCTCTGCCCTTGCATTTTCGGGTGCTTAGCAACCGTGGAGCAGCTACAGAGCTGCTGCCACGCCTCCCTAGCGTTTATTTACGGAAACGTTGGAGTGGATATTTTTTCGAATATCTGCTATTTGGGCTGGCAATATGGGAAAATTTCACATATTGGATCTTTTGAAACATAATTGAATATGGTTTGGATTATTGTTTGCCAATAAGTGTCATCTGCAAAAAAAAATGAGCTAGCTGCTCTTTTGAAAGTTGAAGAGATCATTCACTTAAATCAGGATGGAGGACATCCGATTACACTACAACTACTACATTACACCGGTGACGGAAGTCAGATATCTCGACATAACGCTGGGGAGTTATAACTATAAAGGCTTTCATGGTAACAAAACCTGGGGATACAAACCAGGGATCTTGAGATGATGATGATGATGATGAGACAACATGATAGTAAGACGAACCCTACTATCTGCATCGATAGTCTGGTTCAAGGAAGTTCAGACGCAGAACATAACAGCAGCACTCAATACTCAATATAATAATGTCAAAGTACTTGAATGCAATTTCTCGAAAGGCTCTTCTGATTTTACTTACAATGGATTTATTTATTAGTTGTTGAAAACATCGTGGATGTAAAGACCGTGCAATGATGTTGAAGTAAAAAAATTGCAGAAAAAAATTTAAAATTGTGCTTTTTATTGTTTTCTAAGAAAATTCTTGCCAGCTTAATTTTCTCTTTGAAATTGACTGTATGGAAAATAATTAGTGCCAAGGGGTTCAAGAAAACGATTTTAATGAAGGTGTTTTTTTTTTCATGTTTTTGTAGGTCTTTAGCTCTCATTTAAACCGATTCTTTATTAAGATTTTTATCTTTAATTAAAAAAAAAAATATACCTTCAAGGGGGACCGGGTAGAAATCAATTTACACGACGGTTTTTCTAATCAAATATTGTCCAGGTCCGATAGGTACGCGCAAGAACGACCCAGTAGTGCGAACAAATTCGGCACGATATTTGTGAAAAACAGTCAAAAAAATCATCCGAAACTGCGAGGAAAATGGAAAAAAAAATCTTTAAAAAAATTGACGTTGGTTACCATGCGAAGAATCATAATAATAATCCCGCCTTTCTGTTCCTGTACAAGCAACAGCTGTTTTTCACTCTGTCCAAAATGTCAATAGTTCAAATTAGTCTTTTAGGTGGTCTTCAAAGGTGTATTACAGAATTATCAAGTCATCTAAATAAGCCAACATACTTACATGTGGTTACCTTGAGCGAAATATTTCAACGAGCCCTTGAAAGGTTGCTGGTGCTGTTCTCAATCCAAAAGGTATAGCATTGTATCGAAAAGTACCGAAGGGAGTAATAGAAGAACCACTTTTCCAGTCAAGAGTTGTAATGTGTTACGATAAATTTATCATTTACGTAACATGTTGCATCTCTTCTTATTTTCATTATAAAGTTGTATTTATTCCATTTCAGAATCAGCAAAATAATAATTCGTAAAATTCTCAAAATATCCACAAAGTTCAAAATAATACAAGTGCTGCCATCTATCCATCATGTGCGTAAAATGCAAATATCTATTGAATGAAGGTACTGCCATCTAGTACCTGATGGATTTATTTTTCAAAGTATGATTTTAATTATTTCGCATTTGACAGTCATTTGTATTTTCATTGAAAGAAATTATATTTATCTCACTTTTAGCAAATGGATATCTTTCTGTCTTTCTCTAACTTCTGATTCTGAAATAATCATTTTTGAGTTTAATGACCTAATTAATTAACAGTTTTTTATTTTTGACATATCTTCCACGTGGGTTTTTATTGCGTTTTCATTGTGAAGTGAATATGATCTTTTCCGTGTACTCGTCTGATTGGTTGAACTGGTTAAAATGCAGTTAAGTATAAAAAACACAGAATCGTTTTCCTGTGGGGTTTGGTTTCTAAAATGTTCTTTTTTTCTCGACAGAAGTCTGGCAGGCAAGTCCTTTTTATTTTTAATAATTTTTGCTCTATATTTTTGTATTCTCCCTCATAGATTTTTCATTATATCTTGCTAATCTATGCATAATATCATATCACTGTTTAGTTTCTACCTGATAAATCTTATCTTATTTGTTCTTGAAATATAAATATTATAATATTTTAATATTTTTATCTAATTGTTGGCTTCCATTTTGTGTGAGTTCTAATTGGTAGTGCCACGTTTATCTCAGGTAAGTCAATTCAGATTTTTGGACTAATAAATAAGGTACTGCTGCTCTGGTTTTCAAAATCAATTGTTAGTGTGGGAATATTGGACCATTTGCTCTAAATAGAGTCGGTGAAAACCTTAGTTGTGTGTCCATCCCTATCAACTCTGGCCTGAATAGCCATTTTTTGTTTGACTCCATCGATTATTATCTCGACTAAAGGGTGTAGTTTTTTTTTTTTATAGAAATCCAGACAGGTCAAAAATTCAGTTAAAAAGTTTTAATTAAAACATCTCAAGAATTTTGAAATATTCTGGATTTGGTTGATTTCGCCGTTAGGTTTATCTTGGAGTATCTATAGTAGCTACTTTAATTTGAAAGGAAAATTTTGTCTATTTGGGGGAGAATCCAAAGATTTAATTTGGTATCAGATTCACCGGAAAAACCAAGCTGTCAACACTAAAATTTTACAGAAAGTAACATTTACAGTTACTCTATGTTACATATAATATTGTAAATGGAATAAAATTATTGTTTGTTGGATTTTGAGTGGTTTCATTTGCACATAAAGGGACTACACGTTATCTTAATTTTTTTTTTTTGAATTGCACGACCCTAGTTTATCTTGTCTTAAAGTTCAAATTATTCATTTTAATTTGTAACAAATGTAGGCAGCCTTAGCAGTCGAATAAAGTAATCATCTACTCTAGGTGATGGATAGTGTATTGGAACAAAAATACTGTTCAATCGTCCATAATCGACACACAGGCGCATGTTTCCATCAGGTTCTGGCACCAAAATAACTGGGAAAGGGCTATTCACATTCCTCAATGATCTCATCTGCAAGGAGTTCAACCAGTAACTTTTTGAAAATATCCTTTTGTGCAGGTGCAATATGATATGGTGATTGAAAAATAGGATTATCATTAGTCAACTGAATGGTATGTTCAGCGTATGTCAGGGCTTACCGAAAAGTTCTCACTACAACCTTGATAAAATTGTGAGACAATTATTATAATCCCTGCGAAACACAAAAAACAATATTGAATTTGCAAATTCAGTAGCCTGACTTGAATATTGGTATATTAAACTTCATTTGGAAAACACATCCTAGCAGTCTAAGAGAATATATCAACAAAATTGACTTTTACCGGCTCGATGCACAAGAGAGCAATTTCCTTTTCGGAGATCCCGCGAGATAATTTATATTTACGTTTTAATCTGATAGGGAACACCACAGAAGGCCCGCTTTAGTTATCAGATTGCTGCCAGCAAAGTGCTTTTATAATTACTCGCAGAACATAATCACGTAAATAAATTATGCAAAATAATGAATTTTTAATTTTATAATCTCAAATTGTCTCATCTAATATTATAATATTTCAACAAAACATGGAAGTTTTTTTTCACCTCCCATTCTATATTAAAAGGTAGTGATTTATTATCCTGTAAAAGGAACTTAAAATATCAAAGCAACACGTTTATTAAATTATTCAATATTATCTTTTAAATATTTCCTTCCGGTTCGATAAATTTCTGGTTCAATGTAATTTTATATAGTGAGTCCATAGGCGATATTTTCCATTAAACTTACCTAACCAAAGCTTTTACATATTTTGTATAATAAATTCAAATCAATATCAATTATTCACAGATAAAGTTTGGTTACAACTCGATTATTTGAATTTTTTGGTTGCAAAACTTGAAGCGATATAAGAGAAACTAATATAATTACAAAGCAGGTGAGCATCATTCTTGGAAAAACAACTCGATCAAAGAAGATAGGTTGATATTATCAGACATATTGCATGTAGAAACTTTTCTAATTAAGAAAATAAAATAGCAATCGTACTCCTTGTAATTATGAAGAAAATTTTGTATTTTAATATATAATTTTTTATTGAAATTACTCAAGGTATGGGACGTTACCTGTTAGAAAACAACGCAAAACCGTTATAAATGATTCCATTAGAAAAACAAATATTGTGTGGTTACACCATGAAATATATAAGGTCGTAAACTTTATGTCACTTTTCTTATTAATACTAGGAACTTGATAGAGTGCTTATATTATAACGATGGAGCTCGTGTCTTATACTTTATGGTTTATTGTCACGGTGACCCAGATATATTAAATTCTTAATTCGCTATTCAAACAACTAAATAATTTTCAACAATTCTGCAATATTGTTGTATACAATCATTCGGGACTGAAAGTCACAAACTTTCTACCCTTTTAAACCAAAAAGTTTCCAGTAATGCTAAGGCGTGCTGTCCCGAGAAGTTAGTAAAGCAAACACACATTTGAAGTTTCACAAAATATGTTTGTCTTTAGAGGTTTGTGCAGGAGTTCGTAAAATTTCGGACCGTACAGGAACAACGAATATAAACTAGCCAAAAGAAAGTCCTTGCTCTGTGATTCTTAAACTGAAATAAAGTTTGATACCTTGAATAGCATCGTAAACTTTACGACAGAACGTTATTTTCTTCCCAGACGAATACATCAAAAGAATTTTATTGTTGTATATTGCTACTAGACATTAAATTAGAAAAAGTCACGGTAAGTTAACGGAAAATAGTT